TCCATGGTTCAAACAAGAAAAACATTCTACAATAACAACTAACATATGTTATAATGACAGTACTGTTCAATTAAGCATATATATATCACAAGCTGAGAGGAAACTTCAGCAAAGTGAGTTGGAGAAGAGTTGTATGCAATAATGCAGGCTACCCTAGGTGGACTTTTATACTAACAATGACAGCACATGGCAAGTTATATACCAAAGACAGACTGAGCAAATGGGGAATACAAATTGATCAGGAGTGTGTTCTGTGCAGACAAGCAAAGTGAAACTATTCAGCACTTATTCTTTGAGTGCTCATATGCAGCTGAATTATGGGGTAATCTGCTAGCTTGGCAAGGGATAAGAAGACCAGTATATGGATGGGCTGAGGAGCTAGCATGGGTTGAAAAATGGCTGAAGAGGAAAACTGCAACAACTGAACTATATAAGATGACACTAGCAGCATGTGTATACTATGTGTGGCAAGAAAGAAATACCAGAATCTTTACAAGCTAAAGTGAGACGATGGGAGATACTTGGGATGATTATACAGGAAATCATTGTCGAAGCAATAAGCATGTGAAAAGCTTTAAGTAGACTGGATTGGTACTCTATGTAAATAGACAAATAGCTTAAGTAATAGAAAGGTGGTAAAGGGGGGGTANAAGGTACAGAAAACGTGGAATATATGTAAGGTTTTTGATCTACTGTAATATTTCCTGGTAAATTGAAGAAATGTACCCCTACCCCATTAAGACCCCAGCCCAATTCATCTACCCTCAACCCATACCCTAATTCTAACCTATAAACCCTGACCCGATTTTTTACAACCTGCCCCAGCCAGGAATCAATTCTGGCCGTTGATCCCAAAAGATCAATTGTCCAGGACCCCTTTTCCTTTTTTAATTACCCTAACACCCAAAACCCTACCTCACGTTCTCATTTGCGCTGCCTCTGAATCCTTTCCTCCTCTCTTCTCTCTCAAACACCCTCAAACCTAGAGCGCCGTCACTCAAAAATTCCCCCAAACCCTTCGATTCTTGACTAGATATGGGGTCATCTGGTGATTTATGCCTTCTCTAGCCTCTACCTCTACTGGATGTTCGATTTCTTCGTATTTTGAAGGGATCTCAAGGAGATCCAACTCAGAGTCGACCTAGACTCTTCACTTTCTCGATGAACCTGCTTCATGTTCATCACTATGGGTCGTGAGTATTGTTATCTTTGTGCTTATGGTTCGAAGCTCCGATTTCCGGACTAGATTTTTCATCACCTTGTTCCATTTTTTCAAAACCCTAATCTCCTTCTACTTTGAGTCTGTTTCAAATCCTTGTAGAGCTGAAGCGATTTTTGAGTTTATCTGGTATTTTCTTCAAAAAATCTTCTGTTTCCCTTATTATTAATCGATTTTTCTATGTTTCTTCTAAAACTAGGGTTTCACTTCTTCTTATTTCTGCAAAACTTTTTTAATGTTTTCTAAGTGTTTGAATCCGATTATCTTTTACTAGTTCTACTGATTCTTTCATGCCTATGTTCTAGTCCTTTGTTTGTTTGATTATTTCACTGTTCCGCTCAATATTTGCCCGTTGTTTTTTGACCTGTCGATTAGCAGAGGATAATTGATTTATCCGCCTAATTAGGGTTCGAAATTATATATTTTTGCCTGAGATGCTACTTTTCTGTAATTTTTACATACTTTCCTTATTTTGTGACTCCTAATTGGTATTACTTGCCTTTAATTAGTCTATTGGCCTAATTCCTAGGTGTTGATTTACTCTAATTGACTTAAAAAAAGGCCTATGCTTGTTTCTTGCCTGTTGTTGAACCCTAATTTGGTTGATAATTGATTCTCCCTAATTTGAAGGGTCTTTCCCGGAATCCCTGCCTGTTAATTGGTCCTGTTAAGCCCTAATTGATTGG